AAATGAGAAAAATGGAACCCATGAAAAAAACCTTTTGTAGCCACAAGGTCCACTGTAGAAGGTGCATGTGTGCATGCCCCAATGGAATGAGGGGTTCCAGGGAAGACAGAGTCCACAAGAGGGAAAGAACCTCTCACTCTGGAAGAGAATTAGAATTACAAAACCTGGTGACCAGATACCCATAGCTTGCAGGCAAAAAGTAGAAGGCTAAACTCAGCTGAGACAAGAGATGAAGTAAATGTACAGAAGAGTACAAAATATTGAGTGGGCATGAGAAAGGACTTAGATCTCAGGATAAGTCCATCCTCCAATCAAGTAGCCACCTGTAAAAGAATGGAGATGTGAGAAAAGGAAATCATCCAAAAATGGTTAACAGAAGTCAATCATCAAAGAAAAGAAATGTCAGTCACAAACCCTGAATATGGTGAGTGAATGCCCTCATGATATCAATGAATATAAAAGGAGTCAATGCTAAGTCAAAGAGAAGAGCAAGGAATAAGAAGACACAAAAACAATGGATGGAGTATAGAAAACATACGGAGGATGAGAAAAAGGAAGTGGGAAGAAAAGCAAGGAAAGAGACTATGGTTGAGAAATTAAAAATGACTGTTGGCAGAAAATGAGACCAACAGCAGGAGAAGAGATGAGTACCCACATGGTCATAATTGTCTGAGTCACTGACAAGAAGAGCAATGAACTAGACTTCTGGAAAAGGGAGGATGAGAAAAAAGAGAAAGGCCTAGAACCTGGAATGGGAAAGTTAGGGGTATATTAGTTTAGATGAGAAATGGGAGTAAAAGGCAAGTTCAAGAAAGAAGAATACCTGGGAAGATAACAAGGACAAAAATCCTATAACATCATTCCAGGTCACTATGGAGAAACGAGCACCACTGAAGACATTCAGGTAAAGAAAGGTAGTCCGATAAATACCATTTACACAATAAGTAAAAAGGGGTACAGCAAAGAGGAATGTAACCCAACCCAATGAGTCTCAACAGCAGGGGAACAAAGTAAGGAGAGATACAGCAAAAAAAAAAAACAGAACAGACTAAACTAGCAAAGAAAAGAGAACAGATATCTACAAAACAAACCATCTGAAGCACAATAAAGTAACTCAGATAAAGGGCAGAGTCAGGAGCAGGAATATAGGAGGGTAGTGATAAAAAGTGCAAATCAGGTTAAAGTGATAGTCTAATACATCATTACCATCTGAGGAGAAAGAATTATGGCCAACAGGACAGGAGTAGAAGGCCCAGTAAACATGTGATAATCCAATGACTGCAATATCTCTGATAGTTAACCAACCTCCAGAAGTCATAGTAGAAATAAAGTCTGTATGTGAATAATGTCACTTACACAGGACTAAGTATGTGTCAACTTCATTTGAGAATGCACAATGAAAATTAAAGTTTTGTTAACAATGCAAACCTCAATAAATTGAATTCAGACAAGAAATTTAAATCCAGCTGTTCAATACAATGTCTAGGAGAAGAATGAAGTTACCATGAGTGCAAGTGCATAGGGGGAGTTACTGTGCATCAAGGTTATGTCACCCTCCTATTGGTGGACTTTTGTTGCATGATGACATCATGCACCAGTTCAGTTCACATTAATTAGGTGGGAGTTGCCTGATGGGTAGTGGCACACAAGTCTTATAAGCAGACAGACTATAGCTAACTATAGTATAATAGTACCTGATGGTTTACTGAGGAAAAGTATTTAAGTTCAGACAAACATACAACAATAAATTTTAGAGGTACAAAGAACACAGAAGGGTAAACTGGGAAAGGAAGGCACTGACAGGACCAGAGCCCAGGATCAGTTCCAAAGAAGAGTCAATGGTGAGAGCCAGAATGACTAGCCTTGCAGAAGAGAACAAGGAACAGGAAAGGGGGTAACCCGACATGAGTCCCAAGGATGGGTAGCAGTCAGAGATACCAATGAACCACCAAGTTGTAAAATCAAAGAAATAATAAAAGACTGTAGGTGAGAAGCCTAAAATCAGGATTCCAAGGAGTCTAGAACAACCCAAAACTAGGTCTGCAAGAAAATGGGTGAGATGAAAGTCCCAGGTATAAGAGGAAGAGATGCACACACCCAACTGAGGAAATCCCAAAAACAAAGAAACTAGATAAAAATAGGGATAGGAGAGGAAGAAATGGAAACAAAGGTGGCAAACACAGAAGAATAGGTTTGGTTTGTTTTGAATTTCACACAAAGCTACACGAGGGCTATCTTTGCAAGTTGTCCTTAATTCAGCAGTGACAGATTAACTGACACCACCCACTGCCAACTCTCGGGCTACTCTTTTACCAATGAATAGTGGAATTGACCATAACATTATAACACCCCACAGCTGAAAGGTCAGGCATGTTCGGTGTGATAGGGATTCAAACCAAGAAGAAAAGGTGTTTCCACCAAAACTACTGGGTTTATAATGATGATGAGGTGAAGAGCAGAGATTGAGAAGAGGAATAAAGATAGACAAAAATAAACAGATAGATGGCAAGAAAAACAAAGGAGAAAGAGGAACACCCCAAGCAGAAAGAGAAAATACAAGACAAGAGATTGGGGTTCAAGAACTATAAAAAGGCAAAGATCTGAGGCCATAGGAAATGGGTCACAAAGACAAGGAGGACAAGAAAGATGTAGGACAATGTGAAATTTGGACAGAAGGAAGCACAAACTAAAACAGCCAAAAGGACATTATGATATACAAGTAAAAAAGATAAAGTATCACATACCTAGTTCATAAGCATAACAAGCAGAAAAGAAGGAAGCACCTGTTCCTAATCATGGAGACAAAATCATGGAAGAGCTGCGCACTGTTGGACATGTTTACAGTCTCGATTTACTGAGTCTGCAGCAGAGAATAACAACATGGATCTCTATACAAGTCCAATTACATTTACCAACAAAAAGATCAGCTCACTAAAGGATGAGGTGTAACTGAAAGTTATAGATCTGAAGTGAAACTCTGTCCTCAAGAGTAGATTTAATAAACTTCCAGCACTTCTCCCTGAAGCAGATAGGATTATATTTTGGCAATTGCTTCCAGTGTTATAATTCAGAAATTTGAATTTTTTTGGCTCAGTATTGTGTTTGCTACTATGGTAGTATCTACTGGCTTAAGCAAACATTTTCTGTGACTGATCAGATCAAAAACAGAAATCATTATCACCTTATGGACACAAATTTGAGTAGTATTGACAACCACTAGCCTGCAACCAGACATCAACAAATTAACTTCTGATCTTCAGCCAAAGAAGTTGCATTAGATTAAAGTTGCATGAACTGAATGTATGTTGCAACTTTGAAACTATTTTTAACAGTTTAATTTTTTTTTTACTTTGCATGTTTACTTTAAACATTTAGTGATTTCTAGTCCTTACTGATGTATACTTCAATAATTTTTTTATAAGTTGATAGACTGGTGGCCTTTCAGAGTTGTAGAAATGACAGTTGTGACCCTCAAACCAAAAAAGTTGGGAACCATTGTTGTAAAGTATAGGCCCAAGTGCATAAATTTACCACGGCAACATTAATTCACATTCATATTGTTGAAATAGCTTAGAAATAATCAGTTACCGGATGAGGCCTTACCTGGACTGCTGTAAACTCCAACTGTGTTGATTTCAGAACACCCCAAAAAAAGCTTTTATGGCAATTAATAGAATTAATAACACAATCAAATAAAAACAATGACATCTAATGTTTCTTTTTGATACTATAGAAATACACTTAATAATTTCTTAAGAAAATGGAAGTTTGGATCTCCCCTAGATCTGTGCCAATTTATACAAAATTAAAAAATACAGTTATTAATTTCTGAAAGACAAAAATGTGGGCATGAGGGGAGGGGCTAGTCCCTCTATCATAAATCTGTGCCTGCTTATACAACATTAAAGAATGTGTAGTTATTAATTCCTGGAAAAAATGGATGGGGTCTAGACTCCTGGCACCCTCCCCTAGATTCACATCTGCTTATTCAACATTAAGGAATACGTTTATGAGTTAGAAAAATAACACAATGTAAAAGAAAAATAGTAACTTTACTTAACACTTAAGTAGACAGAGAAATGGTTGTGGGTGCTGCCAGCCAGTTGCCTTCAATCTAGTCAGTGGTTCAAAATTAGTGTCAGTGGCACACAAAATTAGTAGCTTTACAATAAAGACAAGGAAAGAAAGTTTAGTGGCATTAGGAATCAACCTGAGACCCTCAAATCACAAGTATCCCATTATATAGCTTTGTGTTTGACAGCAAACAAACAAAATAGCAGTATTGTGATTAATTGGATAATTGGAATTATGAAAAATAGTAATAATCAGAAAACCCTAATTTTGATCAGCTGATTATTTTCATGACAATCAATTTAATTGTAATTTCAATTAATTGACTGTGGAATAATGAAAAACAGCAACAATCGTAAATGCTTATTTAAATTAGTTAATTATTTTGATGACATTAATCATAATTTCAATTACTTGATTAGGTAATCAATTATACTGATTAAATCACCCAACTCTAACCATAAAATAATAAAAGAAATTAAGCTATACAGTAAATTTAAAGTATCACATGCATGTTACTTTTATAGAAAATATGAATAATGCAAAGTAAGTATCATTTATTCCAGAAAAATCATTGCATTTTTCTTCTACGTACTTACCTTTTGGTATATAGATACAATGGTAATTATTAATTTAGATTTTGTAAAGCAATCACATATTTCCACATTCTTTAAAAATTTTAGTTTATAGGTTAAACCTTTCATGGTTGTGCTCATCTATTTCAAATAATGCCACTATAGAGAAAGATATATTTCATTCTTAAATTTATTGGGCTATTACTATGTTCTACTGAATTATTTGTATATCTTCCAAGATTCTTTGCACCATTTTTTAAATTAAGCTATTAGAGTATGAAGTTATTACTTCACTAATACAGCTGGGAGAGAAACAGAGGAAAGCATACTTACTTTCAGATAAAAATGACTTACCAAGTATTTGTAGTCCTTTCCAAAAAGAGCTTCACATTTTTTCTGGATGATATCTGCCTGTAAAATGAAACATACAAAGTGAAATACACGACATACTTGTTGGGGTAAAAGGGTATTCCACAAATAATGTGATATAACCATCAAGAAGCATGATGTACAAACTTATGAAATAGTTTGATAATACTTTGTTACATTAACTTAATTTTACGTTTTGCCAAGCTGTTCGTATGGAGAAATAGTGTATAGGTATCAGTACTATTAGTAAGCTTCACATTTTTCTTCATAATAATAAATGCAATTGAAATTTATCACAGGATTCCTATGTTAAAGAGATTCAAAACATTTCACTGAAAGAAACAAAGGTAATTTCAGAGGAAATGCCACAAACAAATCTAGTGTTGTAAACTGACGGCCCATTTTAATAGGATTCCCACCTAATATTAGCTAGAGAATATAGCTCAAAGAAATAAGAGCCCTCTATTCTATCTATTCTCCAGATAATCTTCCATCTCTGCAATCATTCTAGTTGCCCTCCTCTAAACCCTGAATTGAAATTAGTGCGTATTAGATAGAAATTAACTATTTACTGTTTTAGATTGTCTGTAACCAAATTAATAAGTTATACTCAAATGGTGGTTCAAATGTGAAGTTCATTGAAAGAGATTACTAAAAGAAACACTATCATAACAAAAATTTTTACTATTAGTAAAACTGAGAAATATGCACACTGTATATTAAATAAATCAGTGGTTTGTAAGTCAGTAGATCAAATAACTGATTCTTAAATTGCAAGTGGTCTATTTTTAATATACTATGTAGATTCAACATAAGACTATGAAGTTGAAATAAAATTCAAAGATTTGTAATGTTTCACTTAAGTTAATTACTGTTTCACATATAAATAAATGCAATTGTTTATGTTAAACACCTCTGGAATAAACTTCTGTGTTGCCTTTACTTTGAATTCCTCTTAAAATATTTTGATGCAAAGTAATGATTTTATGATATTCTATATGCATTGAATATTATATCATAAAGTAGATGTATTACTTAGATACAGGGCAAGTTTTTGTGTAAGCTTTTCTTTAATGTAAATAACATACTTATTTCATCATCCAACAGTGATTATTTATAATGATTTTACTAAATGCCATATAACTTTAAGCACATCATGGATTACAATAGAAGACCCTATTGTAATTTAATTTGTATTGTAGACATATTCAAACTGGTGAGACTTTAAGTTCACATTCCACTGTTTTTATTAAAATGATCTCAGATTGATACATTGGATTATATTTCATACACCTAATTTAATCAAAATATCTACTGTTTTTAAGTAGTTTTCTGTATTTTAAACAATTCCTTATAAATAATAATAACTTTTGATTAGACAAGCTATTCTATTACAGTTAACTAAAAATCAACCTGGTCATCAGTATACCTAATTAGATGCACTTTTTTTACATTTCTACTTACACAAAGATTAGAATGCATTGTTTAATCAGTTGGGTATCCTTGCTGTTAACAATATTTTTGGCCATAATCTCAATATTTCATAAAAGTCAGCCAGCTTAGGAGATTTAGGTTAGCCCTAAATACATAAATAAACCCTATGTATTTGGCTGGGAATCAATGTGCACATGCCACAACCTTCAACATGGTATTATGTATTTGATGTCAGAGTTATCAGTTATTCATTTTATCCTATTCTGCTGACTTAGCAATAGTTCATAGTACAGTGAATACCAGATACAATATATAGAAATACTGAAAAAAACTACTAATATGTATTTCAGAAGTTCTAGAGGTTATGCAAATGCAATATGCAAACTTCACATGAACATCAGCTTGCACTCCGACTTATCAGAGTTTGAATCAAGCATACTTTAGTAACACCTCTGATTTCATATGTATAACATACTGTGTACATTTTGCTCAAAGCTTGCAACAATTCATATAAATACACATAGTAAATTCAGAATTATAATCAATGTTCCTTCTCCAGTACACAGTTGGTCCATTAGACCAACCCTTTGTATAGTCAGCTAAGCTAAGAGTGCAAAAATTATTTACTGAAAAATAAATATTAAACTGACCATGAAAATATAACAATGTTAAATATAATACAAAGAAAATAATATCCTAAATTTCTATACCCATACTATAATCTTTAGCAAAAAATGTTAAATTTTCCACATAACTGAATGAATTTTATGTATACAAAAGCAATAAGTAACCTCAATTATGAAAACATGAGAGTTTAAGATTTCTATCCAAAAGTTGTAATGAACAAATTCTATTGTATCTAATAAGATGAGTGTAGTAAACATTTTAATCTATTTTGAATACTTATATCTGGAAGAAAAAAAAGAGACTTTATAACTTCAATTTTAATATTCCATATACTATCATATTGTCATCATGTAATATTAACAAACTGTAAACAGCAAAGTTAAAAATAAAAAAAGCATTATAGTATAGGAATGATTATTATTAACTCTGTAACTTATATAGATTGGAGAGTGAAGATGTAAGTTTTAAACTTCTGAACTCTGTCAGTTATGTTACTGATGGTAAGTTTTACTGTTTTCTGTTTAATAATAGTGTTACGTCACTCGTTACGACGTATTATATACAACTACAAGTTATAATACTACTGCCCTAGTACTACTAACTCAGTACTACTAGTAGTAATAGTACTCAAGTAGTATTATGCACTAGTTCTACTCGTGCTGAATCGTAGTAATAATTATTATTAGCACCACTATTTACAATAATACTAGTAATACAATAATAAAACTAAAACTGGTAAAAGTAATATTAATAACCTTATTATTGTATTAATAATCATTTCTTACTGTGCTGTCATTTTCTTTCACTCGATAAGGTGTTTTCGAAAACTGCTCCAGAAGACTCCTTATATCATCAGTAGATACAGCGTCCATGGTGTCAAGAACGATTATAATTAAAAGAATAAACCAGGAAATCACGTTTTTCAATCATGACCTACAATCAGAGTCCAGCCGCCATGTTGACAACTTGGGAGCACTTATTATCACGTGGTTTGACGACGAAAACTTATCCGACAGAGGGCAAAAACAAATATATAAATCCGCCAAGCGGAATTCAGAGTTTAATTTAAATCAGATGCACGAAGACAACATGTGTAAGCATATTTACACATATCTTTCGGAATTTATAAATTCCATCATAAGTGATCTGTAAATATATGTGTGTATATATTGATGATGACACATAAAGTATATATAAGCAATTTTTTTCCTGGAAATTGGAAGTGTAATAAGTTATCAAATAAGATAAATGTGAAATAAGAACTGAAATATAACAATATAAATTTAAAGAATTTATTTTCCAAAAGATGTTGGAGTTTGATGTTTAAGCAAAATAATAATAATTTATTCAAAATAAATATACCTGACATGAAGTAATGTTGTTTGGACATTCATTCAACTATAAACGAAATGAGCTTCTTGACTCAAGGGTTGTCTGCGCAAGCAGTTCCTACTTTTGAGATTTCTTAGCAAGTACAGTTTTACTTCTTGGAAAGTTATGAGTTATAACTTGTAGGAAATCTAAAGGACCTTCTGCGTTAAATTTACGTGTAGTGACTTGAAGGGCCTTTGTACACTAAATTAAAATGTATACCTAGAAGCATATGTGTATCTTGAGCAGAAAATTGTACAACTTTTTGCTTCTACAACCACTCTATTTCTTTTAACAATTTAAACATTACAATCATAATTTCATTCAACCATTTTTTTTATGTATCATCTTCAATGTATACATTTTTACTGAATTCTGATCATGGAATTTGTAGATATCGAAATGTTCGATTAAATGTACTTATAACTGTTGTCGTAGTGATTCTGTTTTTTAATTCAAATATATAGAGTTGTTTTGAAACTTTTATGATTATTTGTTTAAAATTTAACGTTTTGCAATTAGCAGATACGTGTATATAATAAATTATGTGACAATATCCACTTAAAATGTATTATTTAGAATATATATATCAATTATTATTCTTTTCTTTAAAATATAGCATTTTGTTCAGTTTTATTTTCAACTTTTCCTTTGCTTAAATTTCAACATTACCATTCTTATGACCTATACAATCATCCTTCATTTCTGGTTCCTTCTGCTTCACACAATAAAGGTTTATCCTTTGTTATTTTCCCACCGAACCTTGTCTCTCTCATTCAACCAGCAACAAAAATATCAATCTTATTCCCTCCACATATGAGATCTATGAGCCTATTGTTGTAGCAATGTTCAAGTGAATGGATGTTTATGATGACTGGAATTGTTATGATAGTCTCAGGTAAACCAATTTCCTGCAAGTATAAGATAGGTCCAAACAGAATGTTTACGAAGTAATTTGAATTTGAAAACTGATTGGGTTTTAAGTTTTATGAGAAATAAACAGACTGAACACGTTTGTAACGCAAAATGAAAATTGTCTTTATTTATGATATAGAAAAATAAGTGTGCATACTTGCGTTGACACTTAAATAATCATCTCTACTGGATCAATGAATAGATCACCAGCTTTTCTTATTTTGAGATGAATCTATGTAGAACTACTCACTTCAACAGCCAAGTAGAGCTAAAAAAGGTACTAAGGCTCTGAAGTTACAAGAAACCTTGGTTCCTTTCTCTGCAATAATGTCACCACGTGACTGTTTATTCTATCACAGCCATTATGGGTTGAAACATACAGACATTATTCGTTCAGCCAGTGAAAAGACACTGCATTTGTTGATCTTTTAGACACTTTAAGGGAAGCTGTTGCAAGATCTTCACAGGAAAGTAGATGTTATATTGTTAGCGAGAAAACAACAAAGTCACAAAGGTAACTAGAATTAAACAACTTCAATGGATTCACGAACCACATGTTTATGACAAAATGCATAAAACAGACTAATGAAAAAATTAAAATTTTCTATATTATTTGTGCTCTTACAACCAGGAGTATCGAAACCCGGTTTCTAGTGTTGTAAGTCCACAGACACACCGCTGTGCGACTGGGGGGCTCCTATGTTACTAAAGATGATGGGTAAAGAGATGATATACCCACATATCACAATGCCATCCTACCTTTCTCTTTCATAACTTGAAAAAATATTATTCAGGTATATTCAAGTAATTCTTAAGAACTTTAGTCTATATATCCTGCGTGCAGTTATCAACATAATTTTAGATTAGATGTAGGAGGGAGTTATAAAAATGCATTTAAATAAAGATTATATATTATAGTGTTTGTTCCATAGGGTTATTATTGCTTTTCTCTGTGTCTTTCCTGTAACTGTGACAGCTAATAAACAATTGTACAAAAGTGGAGATTAGATGTGGCTTTGGTATGTGCCAGAAGCATGTAAGTCGCTTACCTCTGGCTGCACAGAGCCTAATTTTGTTCTCTGATAAATTGGCTCGTTTCATATACAAAAGTTACAGCACTAAAGGGATGAGTAAAAGTGCATAACATATGTTAGTCAGCTGTGTCCGTATGTGACCAATGAGCCTTTAGTGAACTGACTTGCTCAAGATTCAGGAGAGGAGGTAGTCTTGATGAATGAATACAAACCAACTATTTTATCCCACTCAGACCCTGAAGATGAGGATTAAAGAGTTGAGATTATTTATCTAGCTTTTCAAGATGAGCCAGTGAGAAACCACCAGATCTAGAGATGCGACTCAATCCGACAGTCTACAGAAATGCAGCCACCGATCTTCCAACTGATATGGCTAGGATTAAACCTGATTATAGCTAGGACATTTACTGATTGTAGGGTAATTGATTGAAAGAAAGTGGCAATTCTTGCTTTCCAAGCTATCACGTGATGTTCACGATAAAATCGATACACTACAATCGATGACAGTAGATGTAATGCTTAGGACATAACCAGTTTACACAGCCCCAGTGGCACAGCGGTATGTCTGCGGACTTACAATGCTAGAACCCGGATTTCAATATCCGTGGTGGGCAGAGCACAGATAGCCCATTGTGTAGCTTTGTGCTTTACTTCCAACAACAACAGCTTACACAACTGGTGATAACTAAGAGTTTAAAAATTGCTGAAAAGGTGTTGGGAACTTTGCTTTCTGAGACGTTGAGGTCGTCAGATGATAACTGCCCAAATAACTCAGTTTAGGATGGCTGGCGCCACTAGATGTAATATATATATATAGTATATCAACAGTTTATACAACTGAAGGTGATAGCGAGGAGCTCAAAAACTCAGTTTAAAAAGGCTTTGAAACCCTTGTTTTAATTAAGAGCTACTGGATAATTTTTCTAGGACAAAACGTCAGAGACGTTTTAAGAGAATTGCTCACCTGATCTAGCCAACTAGTGAGAACTTTACAGATAATATCACAACTTTCTCATTAGATCTTTTCTGGTGCACCTGAAAGGAATGTAACTTTTTATCTTCAGTGAAGTTGATGTATTTCATCTGAGTGTATAATGATATGTACTATAGACTAGCATGGTTATTTCATCTGAGTGTAAAATGATATGTACTATTAGACAAGCATGGATATTAATCCACACTTATTACAATTTTAACTGAAAACTTAGTTCAGCTGAATATCGTCAGTGATTATTTACTTCATGTTGCCTGAAAAGGAAAAATGTACAAGTTTAATGGCTTGCAGGTGGCTGCACTTTACTAGATAATAGCTATCATCCAGCACCTTTTGAAAGTAACCTGTAAGTGTTATGAAGTAATTTAAACAGGACACCAGTCTGTTCAAAATTAATAGTACATGAATACATGATGGGGAAAATGAAGTCTAAACATGAAGATGGTTGATTAAACAATTACAAGGCTTGAAAGTTTCGGAATATATTCATTCCATCTTCACATGTTAATATGATAAAACAGATGCAATCAATTATTTTTTTCAAGGTCCCAGTTTATTGTTTACATTAAGGTCAAAGCCCAGGAAACAACCTTTTACCAATTGCACTTGCTCCGTCCACAAACAAACAGATAGGCATATACAAAATAATCAATTCTCAACACTTTTTTTTTTTTTTACTGAATTTGTCTGTTACTTCAATATCATTAATACTGAAATTGTGTTTCAAGGGAGAAATAAAGATATAAGTACCATAGAAATATGAAAATTAGCATATAACTATTTAGCATTATTTGTGAAATCAAACTTGTCATTACTTTGTAAAACTATTGTAGAACTGTTAATGAAAGGAATAATAAGCTCATTATTCAAAAGAACCTGTCCAACAAAAGAGTGGGCTTTTATGGAACTAGGAAAATATTTGTGGGGAGACATGGCCACAATAGTTTTAACTTTTAGCAAATGTAAATTAAACAAAACAATGAAATGTAATAGGGGATCTATAACTACAATGGATTGAAAAAATACTGAAGTTCACGTATTTGTTTTTTTCTCTAATTTATCCTCTAGTAGTAGGATCTATTAAATTCTAGTAGCACTGCATTAGAAATTTTTGTTGGTTACATATAAACATATTAGGTTACTTTATTAGGTCTTTCTCATTGTTTTACATAAATGTTTCATATACCATCAACTCATTCAGATATGCATACTCTTCTATATTTCCTTCCTAAATCTCATAACTTGTCCCTTAAGATATAGAAGGACATCGATTATGATTGGAATTTTTCAACTTCTGTATTCTAAATGCAACATAGTTATGAGTTCACCTTATAAACTTTGGCCTTGCCTGCACAGTGTGCAAATACTACACATCTCACTCTCTCGTAATATATATTTCATACCTATAAAACTTTTAAATTATCTTAAGTTCTAATTATGGAACATCCTGAATCCAGTTTGAGGTCATGTTCAAAATTCAATGCGAGAGGTTATTTTCTGAAGCATGGTCCACTCATAGAAGTTATTTAGTGTCTCATAGAATAGTTGTATTATACTTTACCTTGCTGCTTTATGATTTTTTGGGATACTTCCAAGTTCTTGTAGCCTACTTTGTGATTCGTCAGCTACAGAGAGAATGTGATCGTGAAATCAGATTTTAGCACTTTCACAAAGACTAGCTTCAGTTTTGAAAGGGTGAAGATGTGCTGTAAAGTGGTGCATTTTGGTGTATGCCAACCATGCTTGCTATATTTTAATTTTAAATTCATTTAGTTTTATCTCCGTTTAAATTTAATATTTTCATCAATATCTTCAAACCTCTTGTTATGTAGGGTAGTTTACCTATGTGCCATTATTACTCTAAACCAGGAATACCACAGCATAAACTCCTAACATCAGGCTTTGGTCTGAATGTTGAGTAAAATGTGAGCTCTGCAGGTTTGCTTCATATACAGTCTTATATCATCCATGTTCTGGTTGTGGAAAAGGTTCTACAGAAATCTGGAAATCCTCTATTAAGTGTAGAGCACCCCTTCATCATGCCCAGCAGGATGTGACAACCTGAATATATCTTCACATCCCAGCATAAAACCTGGAACACCTCTAGTCAAGCTGAAAGAAGAGAAGAATGAAAAGGAAATGTGGTCAACAGGAAAGTGCCAGTCACTTAACCAATCTCACCACCACATGTCAAATTTGCATCAAATGCAGAATGTGTCTTACGTGTTACATAACCCAAGCCATTGGGAAGAGCAGTTGCATGTAATTACGCTGTTACTGCAGGCCACCGGTCAGGTAAAGAATTGGGATAGTAACTTGATTGAGAAATCAACAGGGAAGAGGATGCCATGATCTGTACTTTCCAAGTGACCTACTGAAAAGACGAAATTTTATGCAGCAGTTAGAATAATTGAGGTAACACCTATAGAACATTAACAGTATGCACAACTGTAGATGAATGCCAGGAATTTTAAAATAGTTGTAATCTCAAACACCATTGCAACCCATATTTTCTGAGCTATCAAGTGGTGTTTCATGACAGGATGTATGTATTGCATCATGTAATAGCCACTTGTCTATTAAGCAGATAGGGTAGTTGTGTGATCTGCAACTATGAGGTCACAAGATGAAAGGAAGTTGTGACCCTTACTTTAAAAGCTATCAAGTTTAAATTCTTCTATATCTCGTGAGATCCATTGGATCACAATCGCAACACTTGTTTTTATACACACATTTTATCTCATCTAAAAAATTCTGAGGTGGGGAAAATAAACCATATTATGGAAACATCATTGCACTAAGATTTTTGTTACTAACTGAAGTTGAATCACATCTACTATATAAAAAGAATTTGAAACTAAAATATACCAACAATTTCTGATAATAATGTGCTACAGCTAGGGTTGCTGAGTTTTCATGGGACCTGAGAAAAGTGGTTTGTAAGTTCCTTCTCTGTTTCTTCCTTACCTTCCTCAGGACAGTTGGCCTTGAGGATATGTCCTCAACCTCCCCATCCTATTGATGGGCCTGGCTATTATAAAATTCTTTCTTAATTTCATTAATTAAAAGCCCACAGTACAGTAAAGTAAAATGTATATCAAAACAATCCTAACGTTCTTTTCATATGAATATTTCATAAATTAGGTTACTGAAAATGCTAAAACTTGTTTTTTATTGTACTCAAATTATCAAATACTTTTGAATCTCAGAATGCTCACAGATTAGGAATATTTGAACTCAAAAATGGGAAATACTGATTTTTTTTGTTTGCATTGAGAATGCAAAAAAGAGCCTAAAAGATGAAACCTGAAATACAGAAGTGAGAAGTATGGAGATGTATTATTACAAACCAACCTTAGTAACCTAGTTTCTATAAACAATAAAAGTGATTGGCAGCTTATAAAACTAGACTAACATTCTCTAGAAAGATAAGTGCAATTCATTATAAAATATTTATTGATTGTAATAATAGCAACAGGTAGTGTGCTTACAATGCCAGTTTTCAAATATTAATTTGAAAAGATACATGTTGGAATTTGACAGTATCAAAAATACTGTTACCTTCCAGAAAGAAAGACTGTAATAATTCTCAATTATGCCTTTGTACCTGATACGGGTCTACAATCCAAATATTCTTGGGATCTGGTGGTTTTATTTCAAATGTGATATACCAATCTTTCTTTAACCTATGAAGTTTTTACTATTAAGAAGCTAAGGATTATCAAAAAATTAGCATAAACATGGAAATAACCAATCTCTTATTAGTGTTACAAAATATGAAAATTATTTTATATTTTTGTTATAATGTGAATACAAACTTGAGACACAGATACTGGCTTTTTGGTCAAGGAATTTTTGAAGTGTAAAAATAAGCCAGCAAAAATCTATTTTCAGAACTCCCCTTTTTGTGTCTCAAAAAAATGTGTTTAGTGCTAAATATGATTTTGTATGGTAATGGCTCTTGCCAACATATATTTATTTTCATCGATATTTACAGAACAATTTCAGCTATGCTTATTCACAAACTGATTCAAGATCTACTTGGTTTTGTTACATGGCCAGGGTAAATGATCATATTCTAAATAAACAAAACACTTCATAACCTTCATCTTTTTTTTTATTCAACGACCCATTTCCAAACAGCAAACATTTCTTGTACAATAAATGACCAACCACCGGATTGCTTTGTGGTAGAACAAAATGGGTTTCAAAAGCAATTACTATCAAATTATTTAATTCAACATAGAAATGTAATCAACCAAAATAAGGGGGAAGTACTAAAGCAGAAAGAAACCTACCTACATTAATGCAAAATGGTTACAAAAACATCCTTCAACTTATTATTTATAATTCTATCTCTTGTAACATTTTTTCTACATTCCTTTACAAGTTATACCACTGATATCATTTTTCAAATCACAAAAAAAATTCTATAGAAGTAAGCAAAACCTCATTAGTTTGTCACCACATTTTAAATAAACATATACCTTGATTTGCTCTAGGCAATGACAAAATTTCTTAGACATTCTAAATGCATAACAATCTGTGCAAGAGTAAATTACAGGGCTTATTAATATTACACTAAGAAAGCATATAACTTTTTCTTATTTTTATTAATTACATTCCAAAATGTGTTACCATTATCTCCCTCCCCCTTGGAGCACAGTTACAAAAAAAATCAAGTCTGCATCAAAAATGCTCTTACCAGAAATACATTACTAGATTTAGTTTAATGCCTTTCACTATTATACCTCCACTAATTCTAGGAATATATGCAGATTTTCAAGTTAAAAGAACGCTAATTTGAAAGATGCCACTAAATTACCAATGTTTTGCTTACAAAGCATACTTAAAAAAAAAAAATCTTTACACTGAAGAAACAGAACTTTTAAACATCAAATGCTACTTGGTACCATAATCAACTTTTTTTCTGTAGTTTACTGTTTGGACAAGACCTTCGAAACAATACATAATACTTCAATAATATTAAGCTCATTATGTATCACCATCAATATTTTAGTGAAAATCATTACTTTTCTGTTGTACACTTAAGTCCTACATACGCAATTTACACTGAAACTTTGAGTTAGAAATGTAACAAACTTGACCCTGCAGACATAATAAAATACCAAGAGCTTGCAATTATCTAGTGCACTAAAAATAACACAAAATTATTGAAAAACAAACATGTACTACAGAAAACTGTTATAATAAATCCATGTATTTGGCTTATATGTTTCTCAACGACCATTACTGGATTGATACACTATTAGAAAATTACATTTTATATCATTGAAAGGAGCCCATAATAACTTTACTTATATTATTTAAATAATGTTCTTTTATTTGCATTTATTTGGTCAAATATTCTGACAGAAATGATCCAGTCTAATGTTTCTGATTTAAGAAATATACAAGCCACAATGTAGGGTACCATATCTCATTTATGATCACATTTTGTAAGATAAGTTTGGACCTCCAGTTCCCAATAAAATATTGAAATAAAAAAAACAAAAAAACAAATCCAACATATCTCTAGTTTTAAATGGTACCCTAGGTAAAAACAACAAAAAAAGTAATCTAGCCATTACCAAAGCATCAAAAGTAAAATTCAAAATATAAACAGAATTATCATACCCTTGTCGTGAAAATATATTTTGATTCTTATGTTAAAGGTGAATAACATGTTTGCACTACAGTTCCAACCAGCCACAAACTACTTTTCTGAGTTGTCATAACATATATAAAGTCAATGCCCATAATTATGAGTGCATTATCTTTATCTAAGCACAGAAGAAGTGTAGAACAATCAAACAGAAAGAGAAATTTACCCTGGGGTTTAGGTAAATAACTGCCTATAGTAAAAACTCTACGGATACAAATTATCATAAATCTCTGAGCTTACCCTTGAAACTCAAATGAAATAAACACACAAAGTTTACTAGCCATCTCCCTATAATTGAAAAATGAAATAAGAAAAACATGCAACAACAGAAAGGTCACACTTCTATTTCCAGATAGATATACTGAGTGAGTTATGAAATTCATTTGTTTGTGAAGAATAATTCATATCCAGTTACATACAGAGGAAGTCCAGCGTATGTACATTTTAATAAAGGAATAATTTTTATATACAGTTCTAGAAAACACAGAATTAATACCAAATTTTGAAGTTACACAAATAATTAAACAAGTACTTTTTTTTAAAGAAAATAAGACATTATTGAACAAAAGGAACAAATGTAATAAAGATGCTGAGAATGATAAGAGCTAGATTTCTTCAGTGTTTAGCACCAATGACTGCAGCGAGTCCTACATAAGCAAAATTTATAATTTTCTTTAATGTTTTATATATAACTGTTTTCTGTTAGCTGATATCAATAAAAACTGACAGACCTTAATAAATCAAGTTTTACTTCAACTTACAAAGTCACACACACAGAATTTCCCCACCTGGTAAAGAATTCAATATAACTAAGTAATTCTACATTTTCTTATATTTATTTATTTTGACTTTAATTTTTACATTAACTATTGATTCTGTCAATAATATTGTGTTTAACAATTTTATAACACATACTTCCAGTTTTAGGTTCAGGTAAACGTCAAGTGCACCAACAGCATCTGTTCTCTACAGAACATGAGACGTGCTAAGGCACAATGAAAAGGACTTTGTTTGCAAATAAGATGTAGCCATCTCTCTACATACTGTGTCATATAACCTAGCTAAATGTAACATAATTACCACACTTACATACTAACTTTTCAAAGAAATGCTCCAAAAAGAAATTTTAGATTGATAAAAATAGAAAAAAAGGGTTCATAATTCTTTATGGGAAACATAAATTATACCTTGAAACCAAACTCAACACCATATTTAATTTTGAAATTTCCAACCCCTGCAAACCTCCTTGTCACTGATAGTTCTAATGTATAAGTAGCCTTAAAATCTTACAAATTTTGGCATTTATCATACACATAGTTCTTATATGACCAGCTATGGAACGTTTCAGTAGTGGCAACTGCAGCAAACATTGTAGGGAGTGCCACAAGAGGGAGCTAGATTAATAACAATCTTGCATTTTGAGGCACATCCAACAAAATTAATGATGTTTCAGTTCAGAGCCAATTCTGTAACTAAGAATCTTGTTCCAGTCAATCTTGGTGCGTGTGACTGGAAGTTGGCGACGGAGGGCTTTGAATGTAGTGTCAGACATTGTCTGGTAGTTCTCGGAAATTGCTGTCTGCAAATCAGAATAATCTATGTTATAATCAAACAAAATCAAGTATTTAACAGCTTACATTATTAAAAGCTAAATTTTATACAAAGGATGGGTGATAGCTTTATATACATACCACACAGAGTAAGTAAGTGTCACATATCAAATATTTAATTGTTTGACAGGCAATGCCAACAGCAACCCATGACACACAGTTAGCTATACATTACTGAAATACTGATTTACCTCCCTTTGATTATTGTTAATTTTGAAGTGGTTTTTTTTCTTCAAATATTAAAAATAGTCAAGTTGCGTGTACTATGAAAGTACCAATATTTCATCTTTTTCTGAACTAATTCTATCACTCAAGACAATATTATAACTTATTCTAGATTATCATTGACCCTTTTAGTCAAATCTTTGATGTAAATATAGTGTACTATTGATATTCACAATAAAAAAGAACAGTTTGGTGTTAAAACAAAAAAAATAGATTAACATTCCTTTAATCATCTAAAGCCTAGGTCTTTAAAGAGCACTGGCCAGAGTTATGGGTCAGTTAGTACGTATCATGGATCTTTACCCTTGATAACTATGAAGCTTAAATTTATAGTCTGCAGGGTGAATATTTCTATTGCTCATAATTTATGCTCAACATTAAATTTAAAAAAATAGTAATCTCTACCAGAACCAGGGAAAAATAGCACAAAATGTAAACATAAACGGCATCACTACTAATTACGTTATATTTAATATTTACTAATTACAGTGTACTACTGATTAAAAGCTCTGTAAGTAGCACTCTTGGCTTTCTTTAGGAAATCATCTGTGAATTCTTGGGAGAAACATGGTTTTAATGACATTTCCACCTTCCTTATCAGCACTGATCCTAAGGTGGAGTTTGACACTGATTTTTGAAAGACTGTCCTGTTTTTACAAACAAGGAAGAAAGCCCTATCACAACCTGCAATTACAAGGATAGACTTCATTACTTCAAAGAGTTTATCATATTTAAAGTTGCCCACCTCATCTTTCATTTTTCCAATACTAAACCAACGTTTGTCTGCTGTTTCACCGAGATCTACACCACCAATAAATAGATCAGATGAGAAATTGCTGGAATTTTCCAACAAAGTATTCTACCGATACCAAAGAACAACTTTTTCTAAGATATATGTCTGCTAATTCTGCATGTTTCAAAGTTATATCCTGAAGTGATAATATGGCTTTCCAATGCAGTTTCATAGTAATATCTTAAATCTTCATAGATAGAGACATGACTTCCTTTGTCAAGCTTTGCAAGGAAAGGCTCAACTTCATAACCAGTTATTAAGTTCTCATTTTTTTAATTGAAGTTTTTAGTCTTTGAAATTCAAATCCAAAATATCTGGGCAATTCAAAACTGCATGTGGTGTCACATGACTGCTTAACAAATCCTTGAATACAGCAAACAGAATTGTCTGTAAGCAATGGACGAGTGGGGTCCTCAGACTGTAGTTTCAAATCATACTTGTCAAAGATTTGAATACAACTGTTCAGAAATAATGCATATATACGACACATCTCCTTGATGCAAGTAATTTAATGTCTTTCTACTTGCAAATAAGTGTTTCCTGGTGATTTGGAGTCAGGTGTGTCCTGTACCTTCTCACTTGCCTGTGCAACTTTGTCTGCTACTTTCTTAGAGGAACCATCCATGAAAAGATCCAGATCCTTGCCCAGGAAACACATTGACAGACTGACTCTGCTTGGAAGTTTTTTCGTTGCATTTTTCTAAACAATCACTCTCTTTCTCCACAGATACCTCTGACCTGCATGGAACAGGCTTTGCCTTCACATGGATTTTTTATTTTTCATCATGTTTGTCTGCAAAGTATTGATTCAAAGGTCTCTGTTATTCAATTGACCTTTGTAAGCATTTTCCAAGAGACAGCCAGCATGTGCACACATGCTTCAGGATAGTTTGAGTCTCCATATCACATAGATTCTGGAAGTCTCCAAGTTTTTGTTTTCGGTTTGCACTCTTGTCAGATAGTAATAAATGTCAACAAAAATTTCAACAAACTGATATTGCAAACTCTTTCTTGCTTTTTCTTTTGCAAAATGAAGGAGGTGATATGGGCATCCCCTAATCACCATTTCAGGGTTAAGTTTTAGAAGATAACCCACAACTCCTTTTTTTTCTCTCTATCATCACATTTGTGTTGTCAACAGCTAATGATGCACAATTTTCCCACTTTAAGGACTTTGAGGCTAGTTCTTCTTGAAAGTGTCCTGCAATATTATTGTCAGTTGGTTTTCTAATTAAATTGGAATTAGAAAGTAATGCATTTACAACTTTTTCTTTGTTGTCATCAAAGTGTGTCACGACAATAGGGCACATTTTACCATTAATGTCATTACTGCGATCAGTAGATAAGTTGAAAGACCTAGTTTGAATGTTACTCACAATTCACTCAGTTAGCTGTATTGCTGGTCATTTCTCCAACTATTGCAGAAATTTTGGTTCTAGAGCACCCTTATCTTTTAGCAGTTTCCAAATCCAGAAACACTTATGAAGCATGATCCGAAACCTCCAATGAAGGAGGCAAATAAACATTCCACACTGATCACATCATTTTCTGATTAGGTATCTGGTTTTACGAAATATAAATCTAGTTTATTAATCCCACATGCTCTCAAACAATTGTGCTGGTGTTTAGTAGTGTTATGATGTTTTTTGATGTCATTTTCACCTCCATAAGCAATAGAGAAATTAGAAACACAAACTGTACATCTTGCATAATTCATACCCTTTGAGGATGATACAATATCACCAAGCTTTTTTGAATACTCTAGCTTAAACTTATGCTCACTATAAGCTTTTCTCTTCTTTGTTGGAGTCATTGGTGATGAAGTAGAACCATTTTTTTCCACCATTTTCCTCTCAAAAAATGATCAGCGCAACCTAGACACTTACTATATACATGCTTTTTTAATAGACTATTTCAAGCACTTTTAATATTGAGATATACATCAAAGAGCAGTGAATTATTTCCAAAAAATTATTAATATAAAAAAATAAATGGTGTATATAAGTGTTTTACATTCACAAAGGAGAAACCTATTATTCTATAGGTATTTGAAGAACGTGTAGCATTCCACTGAAATATAATTCTTCAAGTAGAAAAAAAGGTTCGTGAAAAAATTCTGGAATTTTATATAAAATAAAAAAAGAATACAATTTGTACAGGTATAAAATGAAAACAAAAACAGAACAATTAGACCTAAATCAAAAGAGTTGGCAGGTCTGGAAATATCACAGGAAGTTGTTGAATCATTTTGCTGAATATAAACTAAAAAATGATGAAGACTGTAAAGAACCCATTAACTTTTAATTGCCTCATAAATATAATACAACTTCTGACAAAAAAGTGCTAAAGATACGGGCAGTTTTTTTTCATACCTAAATCAATTTTCTAATATATATATAATATGGCTAATGAAAATTAAGAAAACAAGTCACTTCATTCCCCTTTTCAATATTTTTTTAATAGCTGACTGATCTACAAGTGTTATGAAATACACAAGTATAACTGCAATGGAATACTGCTAAATATATATAAAAAAGAGAGAATAATGTGTGTTAATTATTTCCACTTACTTGGTATTCATTTTCTGCATCTTCTACAATCTGAACAAATTCTTTTGCAGTTTGTTGCTCAGTCTTAGGCAGAAAAAAAAAGTTTCAGGCATAAATTCTCAGGCAAACAAAAATAGTTCTGACAAGCTGTTTTTTAAACACTTCTGATTTGAACTTCTTATTTGACTTATTAAATGGAAAGTGGCAAAGAAATTTGCAATAAACATGATTTTAATGACCCTAATGAATTTCACTGTATTATCAATTTTAATATGTTTATAACAAAAATAAATAAAGGGATTAGCAAAGAAATATTACTTTATTAACTCGTTAATATTAAACCATGGAAGACAAAGTCCTAATATTGTATTAATAACTGTAGTGGAAAAGTAAACCAGCATTAATTTTACACAGTCACAAAAAAATGAAAAATACCAATTTAAACTTAAGAAATAGTTAGAAATCCTGAAGGCTCACCATACTCTTGCAACATTTGATTTTCTGTGTTTTGTATTCTTAAAATTTATATATCTAGATATCAAATGCAATTAGAAATTTTAATATACAGTCAATTTTTACTAAAAGTTGTTTTAAAGTAGCTTTAACAGCTAAACAATAATATGATTTTCTGGCAATAATTACAAAAATTAAAATCTGAGAAAACCAAGTCATCTTTAAATTATATTATAGATACTGTATATTGTATTAGTTCATCCATGGTTTTCTCCAATTTAAAATGCATACAGACTGTTTTCTTCAAAGGTTTGAACACAAAGGCTCGACAGATTCAAAGTTGAAATGTGAAGAAAAAGCTATCATTTTTTCATTGTACTGTTTGTTCTTGAAGCAAAGAACCATTGAGCTATCTGCTGTGTCTACTGCTGGGAATCAAACCCTGCTGTCCCATTAGTGAACTTTTTATTACATAACCATTATACAACAAGTCAAACCTCTATAAAAAGGTATTCTACAACTGTGTAGCTAGGTACAAAAAGCATGCAATAATAAATGCATAAGGAAATCTAATGTTTTCTGCATCTTCTAAGACCTGAACAAACTCCAGGAGAGCATTGTTCTTAGGCAGAAGAAATGTTTCAAGCATGAATAAAATAAAAATTCAAAACAACTAAAAATAAGATGAACATGAAAAAAAAAAACCTATTAAACAATTTTAATGACCACTATTAGCCTAATGATTTGTTTGCTTGTTTGAAGTTAAGCACAAAGCTACACAATGGGCTATCTGTGCTCTGCCCACCACGGGTATCGAAACCTGGTTTCTAGCGTTGTTAGTCTTCAGACATACCGCTGTGCCACTAGGGGACTAGCCTAATGAACTTTCAAAGAAAATAACGAATAAAAGATTTTAGATCTCAGTAAATCAGTTTTTAAATATTATATAGCTAATTATCTAGAAGTTAGTTCTTGTGAACTGTTTTTGTTAATGAAATATAAAACAATTTTATTTTAAATAGCATAAAAAGTATTTTTATTTGTAACCTCGTGCTCCTACTCGGTAATAGCTTTGGAAATTCACAGACAAATCTTTGGTAGAAATACTTTATTAAAGATTCTGACTTTCTGTGTACAACTGACTTGTAATGTTTCCCAAGAGCATGCCAGATTTCTTGAGAATGCAGTAATAAATTCAGAACTATAATAAACGTCACTATATAAAGCTTCAGATATATGGGGTCAGTCCGATGGGTTAATTAGTTACTTTGGGGGGGCAGTTGTATACTGTGCAATGCCAGTCACTGTGTACATTTTGATTCATTTGCCTACAAGCTTTAGCAAAAATGACATAAAAAGAACTAGTTTTTTTTCAATCAATATCAGCATCAAACCAATATGAATATAAATTTGTAAGTACTCAATACACTTAGTTCACATAACATTTTACTAAAATAAACTAAATGCAACTCACATTCTAACCTTAACCTCTTCTGTCTCTGAAGGGTGTCATTGATATTTCAATTGAAATACTTAACCAAACTGAAAGTCATTAAATAGTGTCTAGCTTTGACTTAAACAATTCATATAATGTTAGTTGTTCTATCATTATGTTGTAAAATTCCAAAAATTACATTGTTGTTTTGGAAAAAAAAAAAGTCCTTATATCCTAGAATTTATATTTTTTATTTATTGCTGTTCATAAAGTTCCATTTTATATATCCAATCAGTTTCAACTTGATTGATATTCATTAATGGATTTTTTTTTGCATACATTTTTTCTGATTTTATCAGACACCACTTCTGCCTATAAATTATAAAAATGGCACAAACCAAGAAATATTTATTGATGACTTATAATCTGATCCTTCACAATGATATCACCATTACCTTTGTCATACTAAATAACAATATTTTTGCTAACAATATCAATTGGTCAAGATCAATTATATCTACATGTAACAAACATTTATTTTAAATGAAAAAAAATTATTTTATTTAAGTGAACGTTTGAATACGATAAACTTAACAATATTCAATAAAAGGGATGAGGACAATCAATGAAATTTTGTCTGGTCTTTCCTTTTTAGTGCTTTCTTGGCCATTTTAAAGCACAAAATATTCACATTCTTTACTGCCAGGATGATCAGCATACATTAGAATTTGACAATTTTATCTTGTTCCAATGAGCAAAATCACAGACCAGTTAACATACAAACTGGTCATTTCATGGAATATATGAAAAGATATTACATACGAGAGTTTATAATTATGATTAAACCATTCAGCTGCAAACTCATGAAATATAGAGGCAATACTCATAAAAATCAGTTTCCGCTACAGCAAATCACTGACCAATCTTTTACAAAACGAGCCTTTTAAAAAAGCAGATAAGGAATTTTATATATGTTCTTGTTTGAATCTCTGCCTACCCTACTGGATTTTTCTTTCAATTCTAAAGCACACTAATGCATGTATTTGTATTATATTTGAAGGACCATTTTTTTTAGCAAATTTTAGCTAACAATGGGAAATAATAATGGAATGGGATGTAGATTTAAAAAAACCAGTAACTCAAGCAAAAAAGGGGTAAAGGTTAAAATATGTGGGGTAATAAATATGAAAAATATGTACATGTCATGTCACTTTACTCTTTTAACTCCTGAAAAAGAACAGCAAGTTATTCAAAAGACACTTTATTTTGATAATCCTTTATGTTGATTCTTTTATCATGGATAATTTAATTGCAAATAATGAATAAGATCAGTAAGACACATATGTTTGTAGTAAATTTTTCTTTGTATTTTATGAATTTGCTGATCAGAGCCTCCAACGTTTAAGTACAAACACATTTTTACTATGTTATAAACTTTAATGGTAAAAGATATAAAGCCTTCCTCTAGGCTTATCTCTTTCAATCATCTGCCATTGCAATTTAAGAAGTTTGTACATTTCTGAGGTGTTCGGATAACTTTGGCTTCAAAAGACAATTTGCAACTGGTTGGCTGTCTATTAATCTGTAGTTAAAAGGAGCCTCGCATATCGATTTCAGTTTACTGTAAACACCAAGAAGAAAAGGTAATCTTTGATCATGCCTACTAATACTAGTATTTATTCTCTAGTCCCTACACACCCATCCCTCCAAAATTATTCCCACTGGTATTGAATGAAATGGTTGGATGAACAATTTGACAAAAAAAAATGGTGGAAATCTGTAAAATGATGGCCAACTCTCCTCCTCGTAATAAATAAGGATCCATCTGATGATTACGCAGTCACCTAAATCTAGCTTAGCTTATCTGATGTTTTGTCATAAAAGGAAATATATGTAGCTTCCAAATGCATATAAATTAACACAAACATTTTCAGAAATGAAAAGAATGTGCAAAGATTCTATTAAAAATCCCAGATCAGTGGTATGTGTCAAGTCTTCTAAACTTTCAATTAGATTCCACTATTTATCCCTGCAGGAGCTCCATCCAGTCACCTTCCCATTAAATAACTTTATTTACTGAATATTTCACATAAATAGATTATAATCTGCTCTATTCAGTTGTATTTGAATTTTTCCTTTAGCTGTTTTCAGAGCTGTCTTCATTAATAACTGTTAAGAACACATGCTGTGATATCATAAAAAGGGGTGGGAATGTTTAGCTACAGCCAATACAAAGAGAAATACATATAGGAAAAAAAAAGAGAATACTTCTCTGGCCTCATATTTATGTTAAATATTTGATTATAAAATTTATAAGTGCTTAAATAGCAGTGGGTGAGTATGAAGGGGTTGGCTGAAATCTAGCAATATGCTAGGCACATACAATTAAAAACAAAATAGGATTAATGCAAGAATATCATGTTACTAAATACTTACTGAAACAGTTAATGACTCTTTTATATCTTTAGAACTAACTAACTGGACGTTACCATCTTCATAGTAATGAACCTAAAAATACAAAAATATCACTTGATGCATTATACCTTCATATTTCAACTACAAATGCAACTTTTTAATAATATAATAATTTTTAATCAATATTCTTAACTTTATATATTAGTTGATGAAAAGAAAAAAACTGCATCAGTGAACATCAAATTAAATTCAAGCCAATGACATTTTTTTATTCTCATAATAAATTACAACACAAATTTCAGAAATATACTAGAAGCAAGTACTGAAAATTTTTCATTTTATACATTTTGTAATTTTTAAGACTTTAGCAACATTTTTTTAATATAACTTTCTTACTTGAAATTGTATAATAAAATGTTTTTTGTCATCCATGATACACCTTAGTTTTTTTATCACATCAAAATTCCTTGCTCACCTGTACTTTTACTAGTCCTTGTAATTCAACTGTTCCAGCTCCTGGAGGAAATGTAACTGTCCAGACTGAGCGCCAGCGCCCATTCCTACCAAAAAAGAATTAACTTAAAAATTGTTAAGTTCACGAATAAATGCATTTGCTTATATTCAGGCTAGTACAAACTTTTAAAAATGTGAAGTAAGTTTTAATCTACTATTTTCCACCATACTTTATTAGATGTTTAGTATTCTTACAACTAACGATATTAAATGAACACAAGATTAATGAAGTTTTTATATGACAATATTATGATATAACCAGACAAAAAATAGTATCTCATTTTCCAGCAAAAATAAATTTACAATTCTTATAAATGACAAACACCTAATCCTTCATGGTTCCCTAATGGCTCTAATGGATTACACTAAGCTAATAGCAGTACTTTAGCTAGCAAACACATGATCAAAAAATAAAATCTAATGAAAAGTACAAAAACTTAGTCATTACCAACAACTTAAAGGAATGAGAAATTCCATTCTTAAACAATGATTTAAGAAAATGGATAACCCTACATATGTGAACCCATTTAAAGTTATTAACAAAATTACATTTCTCTACACATTGCCTTGACTTGTTCAAATGCAGCAATACCAACTGTTTTGTATTAGATTTTCAATGTAACTATGCATGATGCTAAATTTGCTGGAAAATATTATTATACCAAAGAATGATTATATACTTTCTGCTATGGAATAATGGTATTTAATTTTAAAATAAACAGAACTTTCTATTTCATAGTCAATAATCAGTACCATTATGATTTATGCTAAGCTAATTCCAAAGATAATTACCATCTGAGCTAGGTATGTAAACATGAATGATTTTTTTATAAACAATGAATTTCTGTACTAATATAATTATTTTTAATACATTCTTCAAACGTAGTACCAACACCATAGGTAGAATGAAATTCCCCGACATTTCATCTATGCTCGTAATGTATCGTTATCTGCAATATGTGAAATTGCAAAACATTGTTCACATACTGTTTAATTGACAAAAAAGGATACATGCTAAAAGTCACAGTTTGCTTAATTGTCATCTAGCCAAGTATCAATATGATTGGCTGTGCTATTCTTGAATTACTGACACTTTACCAGAACTTATACAACAAAAGCATTTTACCCATTTCTTTATGACAGTGCATACTGATCAATTTTTTAAATTTAGTTTAAATCACAAAAATGTTATTACAACATAAACAACACAATAGATTTTAACAATTGTGTTTATTACATTTCAACTTTTAATACACAGAAAGAACATGTTTACTGTTGTAAAACGAAATATTCCTCTTTCAGCATGGGTTCAGTCCCAGGGACTGACCTCGTAACCATTTTGTGCTTGTTATAGTTTTCATGCTATAACTTTTAAAGTCAGTGTATGTTCACAAAATTTGGCAGATTATCAGTAAACATTACAATGCTTTTATATGTAAAATATCAAATTTGTGTTTTTATTCAGTCTTAAGGTTTGTGAAGCAATGTTTTTCTCTTATCTATTTTTTCTTTTCACATGTTGCCTATCTATCATGCAAAGTAATATTCATTTTAAGATGAAAAATACTTTTATGCATCAGAAAATGTTCAAATTTTACATGCAAAATCTTTATAGTGTCCAGAATAGTTATCAAATGTTTCTTAAGAAAAAACTTTATATTTTATCTGTCATTTTCAGTAATTAATCTCTGTATGGGTTTGGTAGATTTGACCGATCTCGCAACCACCATAAAAAATTAGGAAATAAATATAAATTATGCCTCTTTCATTCTAGAATGAACACAAATTATAACACGAAAACATAGATGTTTAGACTAAATAGCTTAAATCTCATAACATTATACATTTATATATATTTACTATTTTTATTATATTGACCTTTCAGTCGTACCTGGCTAACACAATACAGAAGTTAGAATGACATGGCTCACGTGCACTCATGTTACTGTATCAAATAACATAAAACTGACCTTTGGTCTGTACAAAGTAACTTGTCTT